GCAACCCTCATTGCGTACTCCGACGATAAAAATAATGCCCTAAAATATAATACTTTTAGACTATTCTCTCCCCCATAGACTTCAATGCCATAAATATATTTCATCCAGTTTTTCGCAGTCTTACCCCCACCCCAATGCCAGCCTCATTCTACAACAGTGGCACCATTAAAGTGGACTTCAAAATCAAGGACTATATGATAGTGAACCTTGCTCTAACAACCAAGAGTTTGGAAATAAAATTGTTCAGGTACTATTTGAGATTATACTCTAAAATAAATATTGCATTAATTAAATGCTTCAGTTAAAAAAATAAAGTCATAAAAATTAAGGTAGTTTATTATCTAAACAAGAACTGAGGATCTAATGAAGCTTATAAGAAAAGACAAAAAAAGATTCACCCTGTGAATACTCTACAAAAGGATAATAAACATATAACTGAAAAACAAATGCTAACTGAAGGGAAAATTGCAATAAAATCATTATTTGCTATCCTTACTCTACAAGGAAATGTCTTACAAAGAGAGCATCTTAAATGAGCCCCAAAAATAAACAGATAATTAATGAGGATACTGTCTAAACAAACACACAATTATTCAGTAGTGGTAGTATTTAAGAAAAGAAAATTATGTTGTTGCTGTGTACCATAGAGTTGGAATTGACTGATAGATGACCCTCTGGCCGGTTTGCAGAGGCAGTTAATCATACAAGATGAGTTGCCCACCCTTCTCCGGTGGGAAGGTTGTTGGCTTTGAACTACTTGCCTTTGGGATTGCAGCTCAGCTTTCAGCCACTAGGCCGCCAGAGCTCGGTATCATCTATATTTCTTTACTAATGATGGCTTTAAATATTTACTCTTTGTTAATCATCCAAATTTCCTATGTTACAAAAACAGCAACAAAATGTTCTCTGATGACATGGTGCATTACTTGTTACCCTTCGTGATTTTCCATTGTATTTTCAAGGCTAGAAATCCTTACGGAAGGCAGTATCCTTCTCTCTCACAATTAATCACACAAGGAAAAAAATGTTCTGACTACTGAAAGTAATAAATGTTACCAAATAAACTCAACCAACCTAAGAAGAATTTATTATAGTTGCAGACTTGACACAAAGTAAAAACCGGGGAAACTGAGAGTGAGAAAGTAAGACTTAACCTAAAGATTGAAAAATATGAAGGAGAGTTTGAGGAACAACCCACAACCTTAAGTCGAGAGATGACTTAGCTTTGTAAAATAATTTTTCAGTGTGGTTAAATATGTTATAATTTAGATAATAACTCAACATGAACAGTAAAAGTATGACAAAAGAGGTCATGTGTAATTTGTTGAACATTGTATATTTTTCCAAATATATTTTTTAAGCTCTACAACATCAAATAATTTTATTTTCCAAATGGGAAGC